GGTTCTTGTGGATGAAGAGCTGGACATAAGTCAACAGTGTGTGTTCGCAGCCCAGAAAGGCAACCTCATCCTGGGCTGCATCAAAAGCACCCAGGAGGTTGAGGGAGGTGATTCTCCTCTTCTACTGTGTCCTTGTGAGACCCCACCTGGTGTGCTGCGCATAGGTCTGGGGTTATCAGCATAAGAAAGACGGTCCAAGAAAGGGCCATGAAGATGGTCAGAGGGCTGGAGCACTTTTTACATGAGTAGGTAGTACTAGGACAAGGCAGAATGGCTTTAAACTAAGAGGAGAGATTTAGATTTAAATATTAGAAAGAAGTTCTTTACTGTGAGGATAGTGAGGCATTGGAATAGGTTACCAAGAGAAGTTGTGGGTGCCCCATCCCTGGAAGTGTTTAAGGCCAGGTTGGATGGAGCTCTGAACAGCTTGGTCTAGTGGGTGATATCCTTGCCCATGGCAGGCATTTGGAACTAGATGATCTTCAACTGTTCTATGAGTCTGTCATAAGTTTCTGTGTTTTAGGAATGAATTACAGGATCTGTCTATTCCAGCACAAATTAGCAATAAATTATATAATTATTTAAGTTGGGTTTTTTAAACAGTTGTTTCCTATTGACCAACTATTACCACCCAGTAGTAGAAACACTTCAGAGGGCGTGGGAAATGTGGGCAGTAGAAACACTTCAGAGGGCATGGGAACATGCTCTCACAGAAATGCTCACTCTCTTTCACATGTATGCTCTCATATTTTCTTTTTCTACTTCCTCCTCCACACCAAGAGAGTCAACAAGATCTGGATAAGTATGTTAAAAATGCGTTTTCATTTGATGTTATTATTGTAGATAAAACTGAAAATGGAAATGATGGAGTTGGAGAAGGAGACAGCAGACATTACTCACCTTTTTTACTTAGGTAAGTGCAGTTATAGTAGAGGAAAAACTAAGAGTCTTAAATGACTTAATCAGCAGATTAATGTTTCATCTGAGTATGTCACAATTTTAGAAGTTACTGTAGCAGTCATCTCTGGATAGCTTGTTAGAGGTGGTACAGGTTTTATTAGCACCTAAAGAATGTTTCCATACTATTTGAACTTTCGCTTTCTGCTGTCTCAGTAGAAGCTCTGTGTGTAACTGATTCTCCGAAAGAGTGTGAGGGGGTGCTCAGCTCCCCAGTGTCAGTGGAGCATGAGTTCTGAGATCATCAATAACCCTTGGCCTGCACGTGCTGCTCTGCTTCTTTTCCAGAAACTCAGTGTATTTCTGTTGCATCTGTATGCCCCTGAAATTACGTGCATTTTTAATTTAGCATTTTGGGAGCCTATGTATTCATTTCTTTATTATTTCACACTTTTCACACTGTAATTTTGTGGATGCTTAAAAACATTCTAACTTGCTACTATTGTGCTAGGCTGGTGAAATCTATTGTAATACTTCAGTACTATGGTATAGTTCAAGAAATTGACTTCATCTCAAATAGAATTTATTTAAAACTGTAGGTAATGTAAAACAATTAACATATCTGTATCTCTTAAAAGTAGGTATTGTGACTTAGAGGTGCATGCTGATACTAAATCCACACTGCAACAAATGCCATTCAAATGTCTCTCTTGAGTGTAAATCGTCCAGTGCAACAGATTTTTTTTTTCTCTCTCTTTCTCTTGAAGAAATGTTGCTAAATGTTACTTTAGCAGGACAGTAGGTTCAACTTTTCAATTTTATTTTATAGGGAAAAAATATGAGATTCTGCAAGATATGAACAGTCACTTGGAAGCTGTACTGAAAGAGAAGAGGGCTCTCAGAAAGAAGTTGATAAAACCCAGATGTCAAGAGAGCCTGCCTATTCATGCTACTTTCCACAAGTAGGCACACAGAAAATAATTGTTGTTTGCGTGAGTCCAAATTAATTTGAACTAGTAGGCAGTAAAAATCATGTACTTTCAGTCATCTTTCCATTGCTAAGAATAGAAATAAATAACGGTAGCAGAACCTCAGCTAAAAGCTAGTAGTTTACTCATTGATAAATTCACATAAAGGTAGTAATACATATTTTTCTGAATATTAAGTTATTGGTGTTGTCTTCAGAACACTGCAGAACAATTTGCAATGTATTGTTTTAAACAAATGTGCTAAATGCTTAATTCATTAAGCTTCTCCAGAGAAGGAATTGTTACTTTAGTGTTGAGCATCTTCCTTCCACTGTCACTTACTCAGAGTAAATGGGAATGACTCCCAGACATGCATAGTGCATGTTTTAAAAATGTAGTCCTTCTTCTTATGGTCTAAAAATCTAACCCAGTTACTGAAGAAGTGGATATTACTTCTGTAATTCCTGCCCTACTTGTTACTGAGAGTCATAAAATAAGTGTAATTGCAGAAAAATTAATTAGGTGGTGGGAACTTGCATAAAACTGGAGAAGAGGAAAAGGGCAAAGAAATAAGAACTTGTAAGTACTAAATTCTCATTGTTTAGCACAACTTTTGAGTAGAGGGCTCATTCTTGGTTACAGGTGTATAGTAGAGTTGTTGACTGAGGCTGTGACTTTCACTGAGAAGCTTGAAAGCCATTTGCAATCTGTAAGAAGCATCCCTCAGGTACCGAATATGGTGAAGAATATGGTGAGTAGCAAAAGAACTGAGCCTGCTGTCTTCTCCAACATTAAGAATGCAATGCTGTTTAGTTGTTTGGGTTACTTTTATGTCCTGCTAGATTGACAGGATGTATAGTGATTAAATCCAACCCTTTTCTGCTTTAGGACACCGCTTTGACAAAAACAGAGGTGTTCGTGATGGAATTGGAGGAGCTGACAAAGCAAATACTGAAATGGAGACAACTGCAAAAAGAAGCGTATTTTGACAGCTTACACAATCGTGTTGAATTGGACTTTGGCTTGTATTTAACCTAACAAATCATTTTCCTCAAATAGGTTGGCTATTCAAAGAACTGTCCTCTGTGAAAACTGCAACACAGTTGTGTTGTAATCCAGCAGAGACTTTGTAGGTAGTTGTATTAAGTATCAGTTCTCCAACTATTAACAGAAAAAAAAAAGGACAGTGAGCAGTAGCTCACAGGAACACAGGCTATTGAGAAGGAAGTGCTTTTTGGAATAGGTGGATAGGATTCCCTTGGAGGCTGTATTTTCAGTGGAAATTTGTTTTGATAGTTTCTTATGCATTTGCTCTAGTGTCTTTATTAATTTTTGTAAGAATCTTGATAAAACGTATTTTGTATGCCACTTTAAACTTTAATAAAAGCACTAGGTTTCAAGAACTCAGTTTCTTGCTTTTTATTTTGTTACAAAATACTCTAAATTAAAATTACAGACCAAAGCTCATGCTTCCACAGGAGTTCCAACCATGAAATGTATTTAAAGTTACAATTTATTTTTACTGGTATGTGGTTTTGTTAAAGCAGGAATGGACTTGATGATATAAGGCAGATCTACTGCTTTGCAAACCATACTTCAATGGTAGTGATAAATATATTCTTCAGATCCTCTTTTTCTGTTGCCTGCCCCAATGTCAGTGTCCCCCTTAGAATAAAACTTTTGTTCCATGGCTAAGACCAACTGTTTATCAAAACCAATGATTGTTCCAGTTTGTAACCTTTGTGACTTCTAGATCAGTAAAAGACTGGTTGGTAAAATGTCTCTGGCAGGACATTTATAAACCAGGATAGTTGGTTGTCTATGGAGGATGTGCAGTTTTGTATTCGGGATACAGAGCAGACTGGAAGTGGCGCGGATGAAAGTAACCACTAGGTGGCTCAGTACCACAAATTTCACAAGTTTATCTGATTATTGCGTTTAAAAGTAGGATTAAGGAAGAAATCTTTGGCTCTTTGTTGAGCACACTCTACTATGACTTACTTGTAATTGGTCTATTTAATATTTGAAATTTTCTGAAAATCCCATTTTGATCTTTGTGGACTGCATCATTCTGCTGGATGTGATGACAAGGCATCCAACTTAACAGTTCTCTAGCATGCTATGTAAGTATAACTGACATTCCTCTCTGCTGCTCTTGAGAAAAGTTAAGAGGATAGAAACAATTTTGATTAGGTCAAGCAGAATGTCGCTAGGTAGAATCTGAGAATATAAACTGGTGTTTGAGTCTCCACAGACTTTAGTGGGGTCTTTGTGTGAACACTTGCTATACATCATTGCAGAATTTGAGTACAAATTCCCATGTCAGTGTTGTTTCAGGTGGAAATGAAAGTCTTTCACACAACTGCAGAGGAGTTGACATTTTTGCTGCAAACTGTTTCATGAAAAGAACTATAAAGTCTCCCCAATACTTGGTATTGCATCTTCACAATAACGTCAGGGACAATATTCTAAAAAGAATGTTTTGAAAATCTTTCTGTGGTTCTTATATTAGTCTAAGCACAAACGTTTATCAATGCAACAGTTTGTCATTGATTTCAATTACAGTTCTTTGGAAGTTTCAAAATTTTCTTTTAGACCATAAGTACGACCCACATGAATATTGGAGGTTCTCAAAAGAATCTAAAGCACTTGAGACCTTTCCTTTAACACTTATATGGAAGGGATACTTGCCTTGCCTAAATTCCTGTCAAATTAATGTGGAGTGCTTACAGTGCTGGTCCCTAGTGAGCACCTTCATGGCAGCCCCCGTCTAATCAGACTGTCGGTATTGAACTCTGAAGTAAAGCCCGTATTGTTTTGCTGCTCCAAATGAGAATCTGTGGGGGAGCATAGTGTGGGGATACAGAGTGTGAAATCACCGTCTCTTACTCTGGGGGTCCCGCTCTCCCGGGCAGACCTGTTTCAGGCGGAAAAACGCGGTTTCGATGCTGGAGAGGCTGCCGTGCGGCTGCTCCGGGCAGAGTTTTCTCGAAACGCCTCCTCTCCACTCGCGGAAGTTTCCCTTCCACCCGCTCTGCGGGGACTGCCTGGGCCGGGCTCCCCCCTCCGGGGCGGGACAGGCGGCTCCGCTCCTCCCCGTCCCGGGCGGGGTGGGGGGATGCGGGGCCGGGGCGCGGGTGGCCGCGGCTGCGGGGCGTGAGCGGAGCCATGGCCAACGTCAAGGTGGCCGTGCGGGTCCGGCCTCTGAGCAAAAGGTGCGGCGGGGCGGCCGGCGGGGGACGAGGGGGCGCGGGGAAGCGGCGGGCAGTCCCCTGCGGCGGAGGGGCAGTGCCGGGGCGGAGGGGCAGTGCCGGAGCAGAGAGGCAGTGCCGGGGCGGCTGCGAGGGGCGGCCGGTGCCGCCGGTCCCGTCAGCCGAGACGGGATCGCCGCAGTGAGGCGGCTTAGCCGGGGCTGAGGGAGGGACCGCAGGCGCTGGGGAGCTTGGCGGTACGGCAGGAGGACTGGCAGGACGCCTCTCGCTGGCTCGCTAAAGAGCTTGGGAAGTTTTCTTGGAAAAGTCACCCAGTGGAGCTGTTAGGGTGACTTCCCTCTCCCTGAGCTCCCCAAAATAGGACAATTGTCATCCAGTGTCAAGGAATCTTCCCTTTCCTTTCTGTTGTTGCTGCTTTTTCCAGCGGGAGGCAGAGCCGGATATTCCCATTGTCGCTCAGCTCCGCTCCCTCCCCGGCTTGCTTGTCTCCAATAGAAATCCCAAAAGCTACATGATATGGCTTGAAGGCAACTCCCAAAAACAAGATGCCATAGCATCTGTTCTTTTTTGTATAAAATATATACTTAAAACCGTGCAGACTTTGAAAATTCGGGGAGGAAGATAAAGAGAAAAAGCTAGCAGCCCAAATTTCAGCAGCTGGTAATTTACTGCTCCTGTTAGAGAAATGCTATAGCACTCCAGATAGGAATGGTTTGAGAATGGTACAAGCTCAGAGAGCCACTCTTTGATTTGATGCTACCTATCTTTTTGGCTCGAGTCCCTCACATTATCCTCTAGCTGCATGGATTTTGTGATAAATAACTCTTTCATGGAATAGAGAAAATGATTCTTGAAGAGTTGCCTAGCCAGAAAACTAGCCTAGTTGTTTAGCCACAGTACACTAGCATGTTTTGGACTCTTAAGTTCTTATTTGTCTATGGAATTTTTTTTTTCCAAAAGAACACAAGAAAGTGTTGAATAAAATAAAAATAAAATAAAAAATCCCACCCAAAGCAAGCCTGCTATTCTTAATATAAAAGGGAAATGTGGAAATTAATTTACAGGGTTTCAATATATTTTGCCTTTAACTCAAATCTAACTGATTTTAAAAATACTCTGTCCATAATTTCATTTAAAATTGTGCTTGGGTAATACAGTTTTGATTTGTTGTACTGCTGCGAATGGAACAGATTTTAGTAAATACGGGCATATTGTAAGATGAGTTGCTGCATTTAAGTAAGCTAAGGTTAACCTTTCATTGCTTAGTGTTGCTTTAGTTGTGGATATATTATTTGATTTTTATTTTATTCCATAACATTAGTCATTCTTAGCATTTAATACTTAAATAAATTGCTGTTATGCTCTCTAGAAATAAAAGGCAATATACAAGTGCTAAGTATTACTACTAAATGACAATTTGGTAATGATGCTGCTATTCAGACCATAGGACCCTTTTGTTTTATTCTTGTAGAGTTCACTGGACATTGAAATCACTTGAAAGTCCACCTTGGTGATGTATTTCGTTGTGCAGTCAATGACATATTTGTTTCTACCCCAGTAGCATTTGGCTGCCTATTGGCAATTATGTAGTGGACTTAGTAGGGTCTCCTATAGACCTAAGTTAAAATGAGCATTTTATAGCAGTTGTGGAATAGAGGCCAAAGACTGAACCGGCTGGGATGTAATCTTCCCTCTCACGAGATCCTTCTTGATGAGGAATGTTGCACCACATCTGTCTTAATGTTTTTCCCAGATGGGTAGCATTAAATAGTGCATAGCAGTGAATATATAATTATAGCATTAAACAGCATCTGTAACTGTCAGATAAGGTGTGATAAACAGGAAAAATATAGTCAGTGTGGGACAGCTGTTTGGTGGAGAATGTAGTTTGGAGAGGAGGGTAGGATCAAAAATGTGGGCAACCTCCTGCACGTGGCAGAAACTAATCTGATGCTGAAACAGAAATGCTTCTGTGAAGGTGAGAGTGGAAACTCAGGGAGTAGTGCAGGGAGAGACTGTTAAGTAATGCCATTGACTCAACTCATGGTGGTGTAACAAATGGGATATGGAGGGAGGCAGAGACCAGTCTTGTGGTATTTGATCCCAAAGGCAATAGGCCATTTGTTCCTTCTACTGTGCTTCCACAGCTCAGGTCAGCAAAAGCATTTCAAGATGGATTTTTACATTTTATAAATGGGAAGGAGAAGTGGCTGGGTATTCTCTGTGAAAGGTCTGATGAGAAAAGTCTGAGAACTTGCTTTATAGCCTAGAACAAAATTGTCCAGATGGAATGACTTTGAGGACAAATATGTGAAGACTTAAAGAAACCTTGATAGGCATTGAAAGGACTAAAGCTCTCAGTGGGGTTAAAGGCCTGCTCTTTTCCAGCTTCTTATACTGCTTCCTATACGGTCATCGCACAAACCTCTCACCTCTCTGTACACACACTCTGCAATGGACTCTGAGAGGTACCCATGTTGCCACAGCTCCTAGGATCTCTTAGGTGTTTTAAGAAGGAAGACTTCCGGCAGAAAATAATGCAGTTCAACTAGATTGAAGTACTGTAATGTGTACAATGTCAATTCCAGCCAAAAATATTCAACTTGGCTTTTTAAGAGTGCCAAAAATTGAAAAGCTGCAGGCAAAGGCTAGAACTCAAGGTTGGTTGTTTCTAGACTATCATGCAAACTTCCTCATTGCTTCTTTTCATTTAATTTATAATGACACATGAACGTTCATTTTGCATGTTAAAATGTACTGAGTAGTCAGATACTAAAAGATTTTAATGCAGGAGTTCTCAAAATCCTGCTCTCTGTTTAAAGTTTCTATCTTTTATAAACTGTATTAATCACATCTGCAACTTGTTATTTAGCATAAGGCAAAGAGTGGTCTTTTTGTTCCATGTCTATATGGCACCCATCACAATGCATTCTTTGACAGAGAGCTCCTATGCACAAATAATCCCTAATAGTTATAAAGCCAGTACAGTTACAGAAAATGAAGTTTTTCCTTTGCCTAAACTTTAAATAGCTTGCAGACACTGTTCTTCATAATGCTATCAGTCATTCTTTAATGGACTAAATGATTTTTTTATCACTAAAATGTAGTTCTGGGAGTAAATTCACTCAAATATGTTCACTGGAGTAACATTGCTTTAGATGTCTTTATTACACATTTACTATTCTACATACTAAAAAAGATTTGTTACTTTGTGGTTACAGGGATACCTGTTCTGTTTAAATACATTTCGCCCTCAGAATGAAATATGGAAGCCTGAATGGGTGCTATAAATTGACTATAATGATACATAATAATCAGGTATTAAATAGGATCTGGGAACTGATGAATCCATTAATGCTTTATTTCCAGACATCTTAATGCTCGGTCTATTGGATGTGAGACTTTTGTAAAGAAAGTGTAATGTTATTTTTGGTTGTCAGTCAGAAGCTGTTGATGGAAACACTTTCAATGCTAGCATGTAACTATGTGAACTAGGAATGTTGTTTCTTTTTCTTTCTTGATTTCCTTGTGGAGTATGCCAACACTGCAATCTGTAGTAGGGTGCTGTGATAGCAGACCTCACGCTCAAGACCTGGTAATAGTATGCCTGGCTGAGAAAGTATTCCAATCTGTGTCTACAGTTCTCCTTGTTCCTGGGTAGCTTTCTTAGTGCTGTTTGGGTATTTGTAAGCTACAGAAATGCCTGCAGTGTTGGACATGTTCTTTTACTATTTATGGCCAGCAGAAAGCAATACAGCACAATTCATGTGCTGCTAGTTTCAAACATGTTTGTCCCTTTGTTGTGATAACCCATCACAATTCTAGTACTTAATTGTGGCTGCTGATTGCTATTACAGTGTATCTCAGTCCTGTGTTATGTGAGAGGAGGGAGGGAGGGCTGTTTGTGCATGGGAGGCCCGCTGGCAGGGGAGCAATCCATGTGTCCAGGGCAGTATCGTGTTGGGACCAGGATGGAGCATGGCTACCTCACGCCTTTCCCTCCATGGCCCACATCTTCTGCTCGCAGCTGGTCTCAATTCATTTGTTTGTACCCAGGATTCAGTCCATTATCACAGTATAGTTTGAGAGCTGCTACATAAGCAGTCTTAGAGATAGGAAGGAAGAATATTTTATTGTGGCATAGAGCACTCTTTTTAAAGAGCCTCATTCATTTCTATAGGATTCTTTTTCTGGCGTTCACTAGGGACTACAGGACAGTGCTTTCCTTCACAGATTGTGGATTGAGTCAAATCGTTCACAGCAAGTTTGTTTAGTTCAGTTGTAAAGTTTTAGTGGTGTTAGTTGAAAAACTTGACACTAGGGCGTTCAAGTTGCCTTGTGATTCTTTATGAAGGCTTTAAAGTACTTTGCTGTGCCCTAAAGTTTGGGAGTTAATTGTGCAGGACCCAGCAAAGCAGATGACATATTCTGCTGTTGAAAATGCCATCTCCACTTTTCAGCTTCCTCTGTGGCCTGGAAAAGGAGAGAGTGGCTAGGAGCTCTGATTTGTCAGTCTTTCCTGGTGTTTTTGGTAACTCACAAATGAACTTTGCCATCCTCTATGAATCTCACAGATGTGTTACCTGAAAGAGATGATAAACAGAGTAAGTAAACCAAAAGCTGCTTTTTGCCTTTTTGTGCTTTGTTTCTGAGCTGTAACTTGAAGTCTTCTGGCCAGCTCTTTATTCCCCAGTCCCTTCAGGAGTTCCTGACCTTGTCATCCACACTGTGGCAAATGGTAGCATCAAAGAAATGTCCGAGTAGTTGCAGATTCTAAAACCAAACCACACTTCCAGCTGTGCAGGTGTTTAGTATGACAGTCTAAGCTGCAGCAATTGTTTTCCTCATTACTGCTGCTCTGTATGACATAGTCCTCTAATTGTCTTCCTGGCAGCAGTTAATGAGGCTTGAGGATGGGATGTGGGGGAGGAGTTGAGTTTTTAAGAGCTCAGGTGAGCAAGTCTATGTCTGAGAGAGAATTGTAGGGGAAGTTTGTCACTTGA